TCGGTCTGTTTGAGTTTCTACGTATGCCTTTTAGTTTGCGAAACGCTGCTCAGACTTTCCAGAGGTTTATCGACAGTATAACTCGAGATTTAGATTTCGTTCATGTTTACATTAACGATTTGCTTATTGCCTCTTCCAATGTAGATGAACATTATCAGCATTTGACCTTGCTATTTCACCGTTTATCTGATAATAGCATTGTGGTTCACCCCGATAAATGTGAGCTGATTTTCCTTGGCCACAAGGTCACATGAGGGTATTTTGCCATGCAAGGATAAAGTTCGTGCTATCAGAGAGTACACTTTACCATCCTCAGTCAAAGACCTGAAGGCGGTTTTGGGTTTGTTGAATTTCTATAGACGATTCACCACACACGCCGCTGAACGACTGCAACCTCTTACGGACATACTTCGTGGTAATCCACGTAAGCTCTTGCTTACGGATGCCGCACGAGTAGCATTCCAAGAGGTGAAGACATATTTAGCGCAGACCATGCTGCTTTTGCATCTTGTACCGTCAGCCACGCTTAGTATAGCGGTTGATGCTTCAGAATTTGCACTTGGAGCGGTCTTGCAACAGCAGGTTCTCAGGTTTTTGGAAACTTCTTGAGTTTTACTCTCGACTCCTTACATCCACAGGAAATAGAATAAAGTGCCTTTGGACGCGAGCTGATGGCAGCTTACAACGCTATTGAGCATTTTAGACATGCAGCCGAAGGTCGAGATTTCAATCTATATACAGACCATAAGCCTCTCATATGCTCTGAATACTAAGTCTGACCGTTACTCACCCCGAGAAACCATACACTTAAACTATATTTCGCAGTTCATGACTGACATTCAGGACTGCGCGCGGTTTGAAAATTGGAAGTGGTTTGTTTCGTATCTATATCATGCTTTAACTCTTAGATTTAGACTAAATTTTAGGAATCTTTTTGACATTTCAGGGTTGCTATAGCCTTCTAGTGTTTTGGTAGTCATTGTCTTTAGTTGTAGCTATTGTGGTATTATTCTGTATCATTCTGTTAATTGTCCTCGGTATGGGTGGTCGCATTGTGAGAAGTTACGCCACCGGTATTCCAACAACCAGGAGTAGTGCTGCTAAAAGCCTAGGTAAAGCGAGGAATATGCCAGTCCACGGAATACCCATGTGGTATAGCAAGTTGCTCAACCGATGTCAAGGAAGTCATCTGCTGCGACAGCTGTGCGAAGTGGTACCATCAAGCTCGCAGTGGCCTAAAAAAGAAAGTGTTGACACTACACAGAACACAAAGTACTCAAGTGGGTGTGCACGGGGTGCATTAAGGTACCCGCGACGGCTGCAAGGCAGCCGAGTACTCCAACTAACACCACATGTATTAGCTCAGATTCTGGGCGAAGGGACATGACGGTGATAAACCGATACCAAGGATGGATTAACTACAAAGTGGCCAGCAAGGACGTTGGTAGGATTGACGCACTGGAAAGGAAAATCAAAAAGCTAGAGGTTAAGACCAGACAACAAGAGGGGCACTTGGAGTCCCTCCTGCAGAATGTTGATTGTCTTGGGACGGCTAAGCTCAAACTTGAGGCCAGCAGTGAGATAGCACTGGGCAGACAACGGAACGTAGTAATTAAAGTCATTACTTAGCCTCTGTGTGTAAACCCAAAACAGATGGAAAGGGAACTACGACACTCGGTCACCAACCTGCTGAGGGTTTTTAGACTGGGGAAATGGGTCGGAAGAACGGACAATAATCAATGGGCGGCAAAACCCATGCTGGTTGAGTTCGGGAACTTGAAATATCGAGACGCTTTCCTGACAGCGTCAGAAAGAGTGAGGATGGTGACTTCTGGTTCGGTCATAATTGAACCAGATCGCTTCAATATGGGGAGGGGAGAATTTAAAAACTTATCCTCTTCGAAAGGGCCATCACTAGCTGGCCAGTGGAAGTCACCACGGTTAGCGATCGAAACAGTGCAAGGCAAGCTCACGCAGACTACCAACGCGATCCCTCGAGAAATGTTTGCCAGTATTGCTGGGCGTAGCC